ACGAGTATTATAGTATGGAAAAAAAAAGTGTGATCTCTTACATAAATCACAATCAACTGTTGTTCACAAGCAGACTTTCTTCCTAAGTCAAGCAAATGATCCTTGAAATCATTTTCATTTGCATTCTATGTTAACCCTTTACACTGCTTATTTAAGAAATACTACTGAAATATTAAGAGTCAAACAACAAAAAAATTGGATAAAAGATCCAGAACAGAAATGACAAGTCGTTATCATCCTGATTTTCTGCAAGACAGTACTTGCAACTTCAACTGCAAGAGTCACGCACTGAAGTTATTTTTTAAATCTAACTCCTTTTTCTAACACAAAAGTTAAACATCTTTAATGCTGAGAATCAACTAATTACTTACACAAGTCATCTGCTTGGGACAACTTCAAAAGACCTGGGACATCCTGCTTCAAAGACTCTTTAAGAATTTACACAGTTAGCACATCACAAATTCTTAAGGGCAATCAAGGGACAATTTGAAAAGTGATCAAAAGAGCCTCTACCTCTTGCTTGGCAACCAACTTGAATCAGCTGGGAGATATTAAGCTGAGGCCTATTAGGACTCAATAATGTGCACAGTATACTCACTGCTGATCCATCAGCATAGTTAAGACTAACGGTGGGCTACAAAGTTGCTACCTGGTAAAACTAACAGCAATTTATATGAGGGTAGAAAAGGAAAATGCAGTCCAGAGGGCAATGGTGTGATTGAGAAAGAAGAGCTGCTGAGAAGCTTACAAATTTGGCTTTTGCTGAACATATATAAACCTGTCTAAGATTCTGCTTGTTAGCCCTGCTGGATAGGTACAACATTCAGTTGGATCACTTCATTAGATCCAGACCTTTGGCTACAGACTTTAACATCAGGTATGAGAGACTAATGCTAAGGAAAAGCTGGTAATTTCTTTAAGTGCAGAAAAAGGAACAGTATCTTTGTCCTCTGACAATTAACTCAATTTTCTATTCTGTTAGCGACAAGATTCTGAAGGAAAAGGTATTTCTTACACCCAGTGCTAAAACAATCAGTTTATTACTCGTGTATGTAACAAAGCTGTAGTAATACAGGACTCAATGAGAAACACTAGGTAGTACTAATTAACATCCACAGTGCTTTAAGCAGCTCCTATCCTTCTGTGGCACGTACCATGGAAGTACACTTAGGTTTTATTTTATGAATAGCTTTGAGGTGCTCATACAGTATTGTTGATTGGCACATATGTAGGATAAAAACCCAATTTTTCCACCAGACGGATCAAGGCTGCAGGGTATACAGAATATACCTTTAAGGAATGAAAAGCTATTTCCAGCTGGCTAATTGAGAGAAGCCAGTCAATGGTATTTAACTTGCAAGTTGTTAGTTGTGTCTTTGTGATATGGTTGTTCCAATAAAACTGCAGTGGCTTCTTATTCGTGAGCAGCTGCAAAATTAAGCGTGTGCTGAACACAAAAGGGGCAGAAATCATAGCTAAGTTAAATAATACACATCTTCTAAAGTGACAGTGACACTGTGCTACAAGTGATCTATTGTTGACAGGCAGGCTGGCCAATTAAATAATGCCTTTCATATATGTATTCTATGTGAACTAACAATTTCAGGTTACCAGAAACCCATCTTACCACCTTATGTTTCATTTGAATGCGTATTTGCCATAGGACAGACTCCTTAGACAGTATTGCAGCAGTACTGTCTGTCTTCCTGACATAGGTATACAGTGGATTGCTATAGCACAACCAAAAACATGTTTTCGTTCTTTCTGAAAAGTATCATTTACTGAATACAACTGGACAATTGTAAGAGCAATATTTGAAGATTTGAATATGAGGTATATAATGTTGGCATGTGTATTTAAACTGCATAATTCCTGCTCTTTGTAATCTCACCAGATTTGGTAAAACAGAATCAAAATAATTCTTTTGGTCCCACCTTCAATTTCCTCTGCACTTTTATGATTCTTCCCTTCATATTCACCAACTTTTTAAATCCAAGACAAATAGGAAGCTGCCTAGTCCAAAATCTATCCTTCCACTAGGCTCTTAGATAGGTCTTTGTCTTATGAACCCTGCTCAAGTCCAAAAACCGTTGTATACCTCAACAACTGTACCAGCTGTTATTAGCAATATTGAATTTGATGCAACCTGTTATTTAGATGGACAGAACAGAGGATATGCTTGTAAAGACTATTTAAATGCAAAATCTTTTATTTTAAACATGAAGATTTTTCAAATGAAATATCAAATCTCTGATATTATGCAAAAGACAGTATTGTTCAGATCCCTTTCAATCCTACCGTTAACTATCCCATACTGCAACAAAAATCCAGCTGCTCTCAAATATTTTCATGTTGTTTTTCATCAGTGCTTCGGCCTCTGTCTGTACTCCTCAGAAAATCAAGTATTATTAAGTTCATAGGTAATACCCACTGCGTTCAATGAAATATGGATAGTTCTGATATTATATTAGGACAAAATTCATTAATATTGTCCATAAGATTTTTGAAATGAACAACTACAAGCACTAATTAGTCTTAAGAATGCAGTTTCGGCTAGCAGAAAAAATTGTGAAGGAGAGATGGAGGGAATGAAGCAAGATTTCAAAGTATAGGTCTACTATTTCACTGCTGAAAGACTAACATCTTTTCTTGTTGGAACAGCTCTTTCTGAGAATGAATTTTAGAAACATGATTTTAATAAACAAGTAATATGACATAGTCATTTGCTAAAATTCTCAAGCTTCTGATGACTGTTTAGAAGCCTATTATTCAGAGAATAAAACTTAACACTTCCTAAAAAACCTTTCCAAATTCTGTCTTCTCTCTTCTCTCCTCCATACATTTAAAACCTATACTGGAATAAACATTGCCAAAGTGAAATGGGTTTAAAAATAAAGTAGCTGCCTCAATCAGTCTCTGCAGCTAAGGGTGAACAGCAGACTGAGAAGAAAGATATATGCCAAATCTAACAATATAAAAACATTTCAGAAACCTTACACTGTGAAATTAGCATCTTCCTGTGAGAATTTGGCAAGATTTTCATCTGCACCATTCGCTAAAGCATATACCTGGTACTTCAGCCACAGAGTTCACCTCCGGGCAGTTTAAATAACTACTTCAGAATTTACAGATTTTTTTTTAATTTTCAATTTATAATCCATTGTTTGAAAGAAAAATCAAAGATAGATGCAGACTACGTTGCCCTACCTGATGCAGGGACACTAATACAAACTGTAGGCTTATTCCGAAGATTTTCTAGAAAATCTAACATGCTGCACTTTTATCTGAGGCAGGCCTAAAGCAGGGTCTGCAAACCTAAGACATAATCTAGCTCACAGACAGGAACCCCACCACCAACACAGACACACACTCAACTCATACTGTTATTGCTCCAAATAACCACTGCGTAATAATGAAGTCTCAGCTATCTGTGAACTGTAAGGGCAGGGCACCATTCCTGCCTTAGCCCAAGAGTGAATTGTCTTTGCATAATATGGCCAAAAGAGGGCACTTTGAGAATGGGAAGAAAGGCCGTATCCCAGATCTGAATGGATATGGGCTTTGACATTAGCCTGACATACTACAGTCCTAATACAGTATGCATCACTACAGAAGATCAAATACTTGTACATGTCCCAAGCTTAAAACTTTATGAATATCACCTATAAATAAGGCATATAAACAAATTTATGGATGCTTGTATATATGGTCTGTAGTACATCCAGACCATGTTTAATCCCCGATCCATGCCATTTTAGGATTAGTTTCAATGTTTCTCATTTCTTTTTTTGTACATAGTATTAAATTTGGAGTACTTGTGGATTTTTATTCCCACACTGCAGGCAAAATTTAATATTCCTATTGCTTCACTGTATGAATCACATACAAAATTTAAATACAGGAGATATAACTAAGGTTCTTACAATTCGGTAGATTATGTATTACAGATTTGGTTCCCCATGGGTAATAAAACTAACTGATAGAATGATGTATGAGAACAGGGAGAGTAATTACATGCCCCACAATGAATGAATCAAGAATAGTTAAATTCTTGATCCTCTCTCCAAATGAAAGGTTTCAGAGCTGTAGGATTTGCTAACTATGAAAAAAATGATGAACATTAAAAAAAAAAACAAACTCTGTTTTGTGTTATCAAACAGATTTGAATACTGATACATAAAACAAAGGTGACATCTAATATTCCCCTGGTATTTCACAAAGAATATGGTAGTTAAATTCATTTCAAAAAAAAAAAAAAAAGAAGAGAGAGAGAGAGAGAATTCAGCAGCTATTTTATAGTGTATGTGCACATTTTTAAACTTCGAGTGTCACCCCAGCCCTTTCATCTATTTTGCTCGCGCCTAGCTTTGGGTAAATTGGATAAATTGCTGCTCACACCATCTTAAAATCTAAATTGATGTATAAAAATGTCGTGAAATAAAGTTCAGAAAGAATGGTCGACCACAACATTTAAAATTTAAGTGAAGAAAGTACTGCATCTATTTTCAGAGGGAGAGGGGGAGTAAAGCTGATTCAGAAGCTAGAAAGTCTAGAAGCTAGAAAGTCTAGAAGCTAGAAAGTCTAGAAGCTAGAAAGTCTAGAAGCTAGAAAGTCTAGAAAAAGTTGAAAGTCAAGTAATTTTTAAGGTGACCCTTTTAGACCATCAACAAAATCTGTTAATTTAAAAAAGGAAGGTGAGCCCAAGACAGGCACTAATAAGATTTTAAAGCAGCTGATCTGAAGAATCATTATGAATAGCATTCATGACAAATGTAGCCCTTTATGTTGAAAGAACTGTACACAAGCAAACCATGATTCTCTCAAAATACAACCTATGTATTGTACACCCTAATTTTGTACACCCTACTACCTTGTTGTGTGGCTGTCATTTCAGGTGCATTGTAGTCCTGTTGTTAGAAAAGACAACAAACAGAGCAAGCAGCATAATTTGAAAAAGCAGAGCTGGGAATTTCTCATAAAAATTCAAATTCACAGAACTTTCAAGAATCACAAGCATCTCATGCTGACATTCGTCCAGACACAGAATAACAAATTACATGATATTTCCAGACTCAGCAAAACAAAGGCAATACTTTGTGAGTCGCTGTCATTTTACCAGATCTAATCTTAAGGTTGCTGTCATTGGCTGATCACTTCCATGAAGAAAAGGCCCACAACAAGAATATAAAGCTCTCATACATCAACATAGTACCCCATTAAATCAGCTAATATCCATTACTCTACATCTTAGTAGCAAATATCTGTAAGTATTTTTATATAAATATTTTAAAATATTTTCAAGTTTCCCATTTATAAGCACCTAAAACAATCTAAATTCCAGCTAGTCATGACTGAACAAGAGAAAATATAAAATGCATAACTTTAATGACGCTATATTATTCTCTGTGGTATATTATGCTAATTAAATCAGCTTTCTTAAAAAGTATATGCATTCTAATATTTCCACTATACAGCTTCTTTGTTGAATTATTGCAAAGAAATCTTTGGGAGAAATGGGAAAATATGCTTACTATCTGCATATTTTACCCTAGAACACGTCATAGCTTTTGTTGACGTAGGGATATGAATGCTAATACTTTTCACTGAGATTATTTGTATATAAAAAGATAACTTAAGATGTAAGATCTCTCTATCTATACACATACACATATAGTTATTTATAAAAACTCTTCTAACAAAGGTAGAGCAGAAGTCCGCCTCAATTTCAGATGCCACCTTTTATAGAGTGGTGCTGCATGATTAGTATTGTGCATCATAAATAAAAGGGACTATCAGGGAACGTTAAAAACATTTACCAGAAAAATGACCTGCGTATTATCTAGATACATCTACTGGTAAAAATAGTAAAAAAATTAAATGCAGCATGAGACTACTTAGTGGAAAAACTAGCAATCAGTGTAGGCTTCAGTGTTTCCTACCACAGGAAAAAAATTAAAATGGTCAGTACCAAACAAATATAGTAGACTCCACTTCAGTCATTTGTTTTTGTTATCATTGTTAAATACTGAAGAAACCCATTTAGAAAGCTAATCTGAAAGTAAATATGCTTTAACTTAAACATATAACTTGTTTCAATCCCACAACAGAATCTAGACCACTATTAAAGCCTGGGGCACACTATGATGTCTAAGATTGGTGAGTGGATTTTAATCGACTTGAAGACTTGTCATACCCCTATTATCATAAAACCTGTAGCACACTTCCAGCATGGAGGACCCATCTGTGCCCACCATCCATCTCTTTAGACATGATTGGCAAAGTGGTAGGGGACTCGCAGTGGTTGCCTCTGCCTGAAAGGAATAAACCACAGGATCTTCCAGTGAGTGCCAAAAACTTCTGAGAAGGTCTGCTGCCACGGCTTTCGGGGCCTCCGTCTACAAAAAACACCATTATTAGTGAAAGACAGCACTCCCATGGTGCACTTCAGTCAGCTAGAACAGTATAAGTTGGCTGGGGATCTACTACTGACTCTGATGAATTGCATCCCAGCATCACAAACACAGCTTTTCTTTCATTATGGCATGCAGCTGAGACTTAACTTTGGAGAGAAGAAACTATTTGTGTTATCAATCACCCAAAGGCAACTTTTGAAGCACAGGAGAACCTCAGGATTAACGAAATGTATGTCAACTACATGGGAGCAAGTGTCTTTTGATCTGTGCTTTTGAAAGAAAATAGTTTTACTTACTTTGGGTAGGGAAGGAACGAGAATAATCTGAGCCTATTTTGTCTACAAATAGTATTAAAAGATCTAGGCAAGAAATACAGAGCACAGCAGCATGCAAAATAATCTTAACAGTCAGTTCTTCTCTCACAAAGTTACAAAGCTACTTGTCTAACTTTTTAACAACTAAATTTAGAAATGTTACAGTACTTACATGTCTTCACAACAGTTTGACATTTTTTCTATACTTGTAGTGTCCTGTTGAAGAAAAGAAAACATGATGAAAAAAAAAATTTCTTTACATTCCTAACTGTTAATACATCATTATGAAGAGAGCTAAATAAAGTACGGAATTAAACCTTAGCATATACTGCTTTAGCAACAATCCGTAGATTACATATACTCCATACTAATTTTAAACTGATGTGAGATTAAATGCACAGCAAACTTATTCAGCCTGTTAAATCTGATCTTTTATAAACACGAAGTGCAACAATACTGTTTTATCACGAAAGTACATATTACAGAATGTCAACACAAATTTACATTATTACAGGTAAAAATAATTCAGATACTACAATTAATTCATGGACTTTTAAAAATAATGTGCGTAAAGTGCACTTTTGCCATATGTTTTAAAAGCACTCATTACAATCTTAAGAGTTTCCACTCAGATAATCACAAAAACAAAATACATTTATACTGTAATTTAGTAAAATGTGACCATCAACAGAAGTAGCCCTTTAAAAAGCAGAAGCTGTTAAGGAGTTTTCAAATAGTTATCTTCATGAACATTACAATGTGAACAGCATCACCCAGGATATGCAAACAGTTTCCACAGCATCACCAAGGACCGGCAAACAGTTTCCATGCTCTCAAGAGGAAAATACTAAATATAAAAATGATTCTCTTAAAATGCAACAAAAACTAAATAGTCTAGACTAAAAGTGCTTCTACATACTTTAGCAATATATATTTAACCAAAAAGCTCTTTTGTATGTCAGTATTACTTCAATTCAATCATAGTTCCTTATGTCCCAGAATAATTCATTAGGCCTAAAATACAGTAATTCAAATATTTTCCATGGTTCTGACTTCTTTTCATGGCAGCTTGGTGCTTCCCTTTACTGTTGATTTGTTTAGGTATGTACATAATGCACCTGCCAAATTACACTCAGCTCTGAATGAAGCTGGGAGCTCGTCTCTGTTGTCCCAGCCATACAGAGATGCAAGAGATGCGGTTAAATAGGCTGCAACTTCACTAAGTCACCTGGAAACGCTACCTAGCAACAAATCATAGTGCGTTCCTTGGTTGTTCCTGCAATCAGTGCATCCAAGTCAGTGTAGGCACTGCTGAGATTCCATCACCATTCCTCATATGAGGTTTGAAAGGGAAGGGTAGGGTGGGAAATCCTATAAAGGAAGCCGCTTTCCTACTTTACCAGATATAGGTGGCCTCAAGCTCTCTTGCCAAAGTTTCTTCTTCTAAATGCATCTCCCACGTTCAATTTATTTAGAAACTGATTCCCTTACCATGTGCCAAGTTGCAAACATTTTAATCCTGACTCATGACCTACCTAACTAGATTCTAACATTCACTACAGCAAAGGAGAGAAGCTCCCTCTACTCACACCAACTTATCAGGATAGAAAAGTTCTTAACAGTCTTAAGTTCCTTCAGTTTCTGCAGAAAAGGCAGGCCCACAGCAGATACATAAATGCATTCTGCCCCACCATTAGATGGACGTGAACCACCACTCAAGAGTGAGAGAGGCCTTGACTGGGGGCACATTGGAAAAAATGTCTGTTGTTTTAGTTTCCATAGGCAAACTGATTCTCCTCTTCACCTTATGAGCCTGACTAGTGTATTAGCCTGCCTTTCTCTTCTCACCTTCCACAAGTAATAGGAAAGCATTAAGAGACACAAACGACTTTCCTCATCATGCCAGGATCTCACTGTAACCCTCCTCTCAATTCAAAACGGTCTACCTGATAGAACAAAGAATATTAGTACATTTGAAAGCAATGATTGCTAGGTAATTTTTTGCAGAACAGTAGTATACTAGTCCAGACTGTAACAAGTAACTAGTTATCAAAACTTTGTTCTTTCATTTCAGAAAAGGAGTCTAAGAACAACTTTTCATTGCATAAAAAATAAATAATTTATAAATATGGCTTCAATATGGCTTTTTGCTATGTTTCTTTTTTGAATATACTGCTTCTTTTTGAAAATTCTTATTCATTAGTATGTTCATTAGTACTGATTTCTAAAACACTGTATTTGCAATTTTGAACACTAGTTGGTATACTTTTTGGAGGAGTTCCCTGACTGTCTGGGGTTTTTGGTCTGGGGTTCTTTAATTGCTATCATAGCATCAACATTTGGAAGATGATCATCAGGGATTGCCTCTCTCAAAAATATAACCTATTAAATTAATGAACTAAGTAAAAGCACTAAAACAGGAACTGCAGAAAATGATTGTAAAAAAGATTGCAAAATTTTCACACCTTCAAAATATACTAAGGACATTAGTGGGATAGGAAGCTAAAAAAAAAAACTTTTCTTTCTTCCTTCCTTCTTCTTGTACTAAAATTCCAAAATCTACCTGATAATAGCTTTACTTTACAGTAAATGAACTGGGGCCGAGCAATGAATCCTTTGTTTCAGAGATATCTTTTTGATATTAAAAAAAACGTTATAGCCATATTTTAAAAGCTGTAAAGTAGGGCTGGAGGCAACTGGAGGACAAGTCTCTTATCTGAAGTTTAGCTATTTAGTAAGTGCTGATGACCGAATTTAAGAAATCAAATTCCTCTACCTGCTTCCCTCCCTGAAAGCTGCTGCTGAACAGCTGGGCACATTTGAAATATACTTCATTTGCAAGTGAACCGATTTACCTTTTTACATGAAAGTGAAACTTCACAGCACTCATTACTAGGTGTTTCTAGAAACTCTTCCTAGCATTTCTTAATTCATCAACCCCATTGGAGAGGAGAGAGTAAGGAAAGAGAGGGGGCCACAACTGAGGTTCGGCCTGAAATTTAAGTTTTTTCTCAGATAGCTGAATTCTTCCTCTTTCAGATATAGGAGGACCAGAATAATCAATATTCCACTGAATGACAAGGTGTTCATTAACACTTCTCAAGAACAGCCTTCAAACAGACTATCATCTTTCTGCTTATTATGCACTCAATGCATACTAAGGTTTTGTTACAACATCATTATTCTGCTCAGCCTAAGAGGCTTTGACTCTCTGCATCAACTATCAGTTTGGATTACTATTAATACAAATAGAATACTGCCAGGAACTCTTTTATTGCAGATTCTCAGCTAATTCTGATGTTAAAATCTGAAAAGTAAATATTCATCCAAAAGTGGCAAGCAGCTTGAAATGAGCAAACATCAATTGAGCCCTAGTAACCTCTTTCTTTAAGAAAAATATAAAATTTACAGTTGCATACAGGAAAAAACGACTAAATTATAAATGGTAACTTTCACATGATAGCACCATGAAGGTCATCATTCAGATTGGAAACAACCATTGTTTCTGCACATAGTCATTGAGAAATGTACACCCATGAGTAAGCGTCTTAATGTAACTAAAGAACAAAACTTGTAAGTATCTTAGTGAGAAAGGCAAAAGATTTTAGAGGAAATAAACACAGAAAATACTAAAAACATGTCATTTTAACAATAGAAACATAGGACAGAGGGTTCAGACTCTGCTGAGGGAGAGCTGAGTGTCTTACTACTTTGTAGACTTAACATAAGTCTACAACAGCAGCTTGCCTGCTCTAAGTAAACTAAGGCACTGCAACAGCTAAGTCTGTTATGAAAGGGATGAAGTGTTATATTTGGCAGTACCAGCTGAATCCTGCAGACTGCCTTAGGATGTATTTGCAAATGAATGCACCTGTGCTAGCCACTTAAAGGAACAGATCTTTTACATTTATATTTTTAATTAGCATAAACCATTGCCTCAAGAAAAAGGTTTTTGAAGCAGATCATATATACGCACTGGTGAGCAACTTGTGCTATACGACAGGATTCATCATGAACTAATTTATGATGGAACAAGCACACGCAAGGAAGATTTTCCTCTAACCGATCCATGTTTTCCAAAGGAGAAGCACTAATCTGTAACTCGCGGGACTAACTCCAAAGCACGCAGCAACAATCTCTGGTTCAATTTTTCTTCTGTGGTTGCTTAGAGTGATGTTTAATGAACTTTATTTATTTGTTAAACTTTATTTAACATGAGCATTAGAGGAATGCAAGCATTATGCCATACTTGCTTAGTATAGTATTTTCAAATATTCAATATACAGGAATCAACAGAAAAGTATAATAAAGGAGAAAAAGGAAAACCAAACAGAACTTGCCAGCTTTTCTGGACTTGCAGCCATTGCTTTTACCTCAAAGTGCAAGACAGCATATACTGTACTTGAACAATACATCATTTTTTCATTCCTTTTACCTATCACCTTGTCATTGTGCATACAGGAATAACAGGTGACCGCTTCAGGAATATCAAGTACTGAACATTTCATTACAAAGAATGCTGAATATTTTGGTAATTTTTCTGCCTGTAAAGTGTACACATTTTTAATCACATTTTGATTTTACAGTTCACCACTTTTTAGCATTGTTTTGTTAATTTAGGCTTCTCATGTAAAAATATGATTGACTTTATCAATTATAATTAAGTTCAGCCTGAAAATTACTGAAAGAGAATAATTCATTTTCAACTTCTATTTTTTTAATTCCTTAAATGAGAGAGTTGTCTGTGTGCAAGATGAAAAATGAAGCTGCGTTACATTATTTCCGGGGTATACCCCTGTTCTCTCGTCTCTGATGATTTAGTGAAATAGATTCCTAATGTATTTGTCAGATAACAGAAAGTGATTCAGCAACAAAAAAACATCCAGCACTGAATTAGGAATACATCTACACAGAAAATTATACAAAAAAAGCCTCTTTTCTTTAGTCTATTTAAAATCCCTGATGTTTTAGGTACAGACAGGCACAACAGCATCACATATAACAAAACATAGTATTTCCCTTAGTGCTTACCAACGCTCTCTTAAAACACAATTAGTGAAAAATGCTTGGCAAGGCTGGCTGTTTTTCTTCTTCAAACATAGAACTTATTTTAACGGTCTGATGTTTAAATTTGACAGCCACTTTTCTTTAACAAAAGTATTCATCTCCCAGAACACTAACGTCATTATTACAGTTACTTATTTCCAATTGTTCAA